GATGTGATGAATGCTTCACTGAAATGATTCATGCCATATGGTCTGAAGAGCAAAATGGGCACAGTTTATTTTTAAAAGAATGAGAAATATGAACTTGGAATATTCATTGCTTTGTCCTGCCAGGCTGAACATTTGCTGTAGCAAGGGCCAGACTTACTGCAGGTCTGTCTTTTTTTGCTCACTTAATATRTTGCACTAGTTTGTGGCTTCAATCTCATTCATAATGGAATAATGTCTACAAAATTATGGCAGCACTCTGCGGCTTCTTCTGCAAACAAATGTTCACTGGGYACCTATGGGCTAAATAATCTCACTTTCTCTTAAAAAAAATAAAACAGAAATTTCWGAAGTAATTAGTCCTCACAGTATAATTACTATCTTGGTGGTAAGAAGACAATTAAACTGAGTGCCCTGACAGAGGTGAAAGGTGCTGGCAATTCCACAAGTCACTCAGCTTTCCCTTTTGTAAAGCTGCTTGTGTTCAATGCCTTTCTTTCTTTGTTGTGTATTAATATATTCCATGTGAGACTCCACTTAAGCAAAAAGAAATTTAGGTTCTTTCACRGTCATAATGCTTCTCTTGTAATGCATCATTAGAAAATAAGAGAAGCTTTTTTTTTATTTATTTAGTGATGCTGAAAGGTGCAAGCACATCTCACTGAAGTATTTAGGCCCCACACCTACTTCGAAGAGAAATTATAAAACCGAGTAACTTCATCTATCTGCAATTAAGTCTATAACATTACAAAGCTAGACTGCCTTATTCATTTTATTCCAACTCAAGGACAATGAAAAGCCACCATCTTCTGAGACAAATAGTGGAAAAAGGGTACTAGTGTGAATRTTGCAGTCATTGTGCAAGGTGTTGATGGCTGTCTGGTTCTGATCTCTCCCAGCCCTGAGCAGAGAGATGTACCACAAKAAAGTAGTTTGAGAACAGTCCATTTTTAAGAAACTGAACTTTGCATTCTGCAGAATCTATTACTGTGCATAGTTTCTTCAAAGAAATCATTTGGGAGTGAAAAATTTTATGTCACTACTTCAGATAGCTTGAATTGCTCTGGAAGATGTTGGAAGAGTGATTTCTAAATCAAATATTTAGGATGGGATGTCAGGTTCAATTCCAGCAGGGTAGCCAGTACCCAGATGGGCAGGGTCCTGGTAGCCAGTGGAAATTTGTTCAGCTTCGGTGAAGTTGATATCACATCATTCACATTGCAAATACTTCATTTGCAGGAGTGACATAATTAAAATATATAGATCAATGTCAGGTTGCAGTCTGGTTCCACAATGATGTAATGAGGTTTATACTGCCTGAGGTGGCTACTCCCAAATCATCCTTRAAGATAAGAACAGATTTACAGAAGGATTAAAAGCAATTTAACATTAGCTTTTAAACAAGCAAGCTACACTTGCTTAAATTACAGCAAGACTGAAGAACAGAACCTTTTTTAATGGGTTAAAAAAATGATTAGCATTTTTTTATAGATGGAAGCTGAACAGACATTCTGTACTAAGTTAAACTGATGAAAAAATATGTGTAAAAAAGTTGTATCATTGTAACAAGTAAAACTGGTTTTGTTGCATTTTATACTCAATATAAGCTTCTTATATCAACCTAGGTTCACATAGAGTGCTGTCTTTTCTCAATCATTTTTAAACTGTGCACATACAGTACAACATTGCATGTAGACGAGCTTGGATTAGAGGATGTAGGACATTCAACTCTTTCTCCACTCCTATGATCCCCTCTAGTGGTCAATTAATTGTCTGCTAAATGTTTCTTAGTACCAAAAACTATTTGTACCTCTACTGCATCAAAACAGTGTCTTGTCTCCATTTTGTTTGAATTCAAGAAATCTTGTTTTTTATTCCTGTGCTGCATATGACAAGGACAAAGCAATGAATCTTTTGCAATGTGCAGCTGGTGCATCTGTGGGCAGCTTTATTTTCCCTTCTAGGAGCACAGAGATTGTGCCCACCACGCAGAGCCCAAAGCCATCTCTGCTGGCAGCGCAGACCAAGGGGGTGATGGYCCTGCTGCTGCAGTAAGCAGGACCCTTCCATCCCATTCCTGCCATTTGGCTGGCTGAGAATACCCACTGCAAGCCTGGCAGCAGGAACACTTCTGAAGCAGTTTTGAACGCAACAATTTGTGACTTGTCGTATTTGTTCAAGTAAATGGTTGAGGTTTATTTATCTCAATAGAAAATTGAGTGATGTATTTTGTTTTTAGCAAGGTTACAGGCAACTTGTAATTGTAGATATTATATACAAATTGGCAGAAGACATTTCTCCAAAATTCCCATCTCCACCTAATGCAGAGACAGCTGCCATTTTGTATCATTTAAAGTTGATKCAAGTCAGTGCTGATCCAGTGCTATCTTCATTTTCTAATCTTGGCTAGGCACCTCTACTTCTTCCTCGTGCTAGCACTAAGAGTTATCTGTCTGCTGAGGGATATGGCTAACTGGCAGACTAATGAAAAAGAAAGCCTGACAAAAACTGAAAAGCTCTAGGTCACTGACGACCTACCTAAAGTCACATAGGCCTTTTGTTGGGAAATAATGGCTGAGTGCTGAGACCTCTTCCTTTGGTGTTCTCATTCGTGTGTTTGGTTTTATGTTTGTGTWTTGCAAAGGGAATGGGGTAAAGTCCACACCCAGGGACATAGATTGTTACAAAATGTATTTTAGCCAGCTCATTATTCTTTTTCACTCCCCCACAGATGGGAAAYTCAGGAATGGACACAGAGAAAGCCATGGATTGCATGAGTGGTAACACTATGAGAGGAACATAAGCAGATAATCACATCTGAAATAGTCTTTCAGTTGTGGGTGTCAAGAGACAATTTGTGAAATTCAAACTTGTTTTTCCTCACACACAGAACATCTCTACTATACAGGAAAAATATGATTTTTCAAAAGCACCATGTGGAATTAAAACAGTGATTGATGCATATGCTAGGCTATCATATATCCATATMCATATATTTATATATATGCAATGCTATCAAAAGACAGTGGAAGAAATTAATAATTTAGGTATTGTACTGTAACATAAATTAGCAAAATAATATATGGCACATAGAAAAATTTACAGGGAGACCTACTTGTACCACACAGTGTCTCTTAAACCACCAGATTTCTTTCTAGTTTTGATAGATTATGTTATGCTACTTTCACTTCCAGTGGTTTCCGGATCTTTYTCTTGGCCTGCATTATTGACTGATAAGAAAACTTCTTGGTTTTACAGAACAACTGTACAGTGATGAATCACTCTGCGTAGCATAAAGATACAGCTTTAAAAATAAAGGAAAATAGAATGGRCTATTTCTGTCCATTTCTGCATATGTTGTTTTCTCAATTTATTAATTGGATGTTAATGCTTAAAAAGGAGCAGGAGTTATGTTCAGAATTTCTGCTCCTTCATTTAGAGAAATTATATTAAMCCATTTGAAACAAAGTCCCTTTAAAGTTCAGTCAYAAGAGCTGTGAAAGAGACTGCTGAGGTACTAGCACTGATGGACACATATGGTCAGCATAAATGCTCTTCTTTCCCCTGACTGCCATAAACAATGTTTTTAATTTCTGGATTTCTGTCTGGGGGTGTGGGAGGGTGTCACGGCTATCCTGATTCCCACTTTTTAAAGCTTAGCACTCAATAAAGCCACATTAYCTGTTAAATAGAAATAATTCAAAACATCTGCTTCCAAAATTGTGGAGATTTCACACATTAAGAACAGCTATGTTGTAACTRAGATTGTATGCCTTTATGGGTCTTCATCACAGATTCAGCCACAGGATTTTCTGTAGGTCCATGTAAGAAGACACTGRTAAAAAGGTCAAAGGGACTGTTGTGGTTTAACATCACCTGGCAACTAAGCAACACCCAACCATTCACTCGCTACCCCAACACTGGGACTGGGGAGAGAATCTGAAAAGTGACAACATGCRTAGGTTAAGAAGTAAACAGCAAAAGTTTAAAAGGTCGTGGGTTGAGATAAAAGTTTAATACATAGAGCAGAAGTCGTGCATGCAAGCAAAGCAAAACAAGGAATTAATTCACTGCTTCCCATAGGMAGGCTGGGAGGTATACAGCCATCCCCAGGGCAACAAACACGGGAAGACAAATGCCATCACTCCAAACATCCCTAACTCCAAACATCCTTAYTCCTTTTCCCCCCAGCTTTATATACTGATCACGATGCCACATGGATCAGTATATCCCGGGAATATCCCTTTGGTAGCTGGTGTCAGCTGTCCTGGCTGTGYCCCCTCCCAGATGCCTCAGTCCCTTCACAGTGGGGTACTGTGAGAGTATGAGAAGCAGAAAAGGCCTTGCCCCTGTGCAAATGCTGCTCAGCAACAACAAAAACATCTCTATCAATACTGTTTTCGGTACAAATGCAAAACACAGCCCCATACTAGCCACTGTGAAGAGTTAACTCTACCTCAGCAAAAATCAGCACAGCAGGGCTGAGACACCCACAGTGGAAAATCAGGACTACAGGTGCCCTGGAGACACGGCCTGCACCATCTCAGGCAGAATCTCACACTTTGAGAGATTCCAGAATGACTGCAGAGCTYCAGGCCTCAACACCTGCTTTTCTAAACCACGTCCCAGAGGCGGCTTGGGCTAAGGGTGGCAGAACGGGCTGCCCCTGSCATGAGCCATGTCCGGAGCCCAAAAGGGCGCCCGTGGTCTCTCCTGGCCCTGTATTTGTCCAGGTACCCCCATGGAGCGGAGCAGGGACTGCGGCGGGCAGGGGTTTGGGGCCAAATRCGGAGCAGAGCCGCAGGGCCAGGGGACGAGCCCCGCCGGGGAAGGGCGAGGGGGCCCGGCACTCCCCAGCAGGGGCGGAAAGGCAGAGCCGAGCTGTGTGGAAGGTTCATCCCCGAGGGACCGCACGGTCCTTGCGAGCGGGGGCGGGAGAGGGGCGGGGGCAGCGCGGGGCCTCCCCCGTTCGGGGCTGCCGAGCGGCGGAACGCGGCGGCGCCGGGCGCGGGTTGCGGCGGGCCGGTTTGAGGCGCGCACCGCGCGGCACGGCGCCGGCATGAGGGAGCTGCCGCCGGGCCCGGGGATGGAGAGCGACATCTTGGACGCGCTGGAGGCCTTGGGGTAACCGGGGAGCAGCGGCGGCGCCCCCTGCGAGGAGCGGGGGGCCGAGGGCAGCCTGGCCGGGCGCGGAGCGGGGCACCGCCGCCGCGGGCGAGAGGCCGGGCCGGAGGCGGGATCGGCAGAGGGACGGGCCCCGCGTTCCTGCGGGTGCCGGGGGCTCGGCGGGGCCGGGAGCGGGCGGTGGGCTCGTCCTGGCGGTGGTTCGGGGAGGGCAGAGGGGCCCGGCTGTTCCGTGGGGTGCAGGGGTGGGCAGCGCTGGGGCGGCCGCTGGAGGCTGAAGGGGCAGCATCTSCTTGGTGCCTTCCCACCTCCCGCTATGTGCTTCGGATCGCACCGGGCACAAAYGGTGCGAAATTTAATTTTTAGTTATGTTATTCCCACTACTCTAGGACAGTGAATTSTTAATGTTAGGAGGAAATGCGACTAAGCACTTGAATTAATACTTGAGTTCTTTGCCAGGCGTGTTTTGAGAGATCAAAGTCTGTTTTCMCATTCACATGCAAAAATGCCTGCCTCATATTTTCTGACAAACTATTTTGTTTATAAGTGGCCAATAAATTTTGATGTGTTTAAAAGTCTGACTTATTCCTTGACAAAATTAACACAGAAAGATTAATTCCTTTAAGTGTGGTTACTAACCAGCTTAGAGTAAAAKAATTTTAAAACATGCATTTTATGGTGCACTTACTTCTTATTACTTATATGTCTGTGTAGGTACACGGGTGCCCTGTTGGAGGAGGAGGCCCTGACTAAAGCAGCAGAAAATGGATTGTCTTCACCAGAATTTTTTGAGCTTTGCGTTTGGTTAGGTTCCCAAATCAAGTCACTTTGTAATATGGAAGAAAGCATCACTGCAACAGATGGTATATGAATGTTAATTTAGTATTTGTTCAGTGGATTTAGACCCGTATTGTTCAGCTGATAGTGGAATGACAGTGTTAAAGTTTACAAGACAGCTAAAAGGCAGCCAAACTCAGGGTGATGTTGGTGTGTTTGTAGATCTTAGGTTAAGGTTTTGTGTTGTGAAGACTGTTCCAAAAGGAAAAAAGAAAGTGATTTGGGGTGGGTTTAGATCTACATAAATATAAAAGGTACATTCAGGCCTGTAATCATATTTTGATGGTGTAAATTGCAGTGCTGGATATTTTCAGGCTGTTCCAATGCAGTTTTCCTGTCAGCAGTGTGTGGATACATGAGGTGCTTGGTAGCGCTGCCTGATTATTTTTGTCCAGTGCTGGAATTTGGATGAGATTTTATATTACTTACATTTTCACTAAAAAGGTAGTAGAAATAAAAATTAATCACTGAAAATAATGGGTTCATGACTCCTGTAACTTCTTAATCAGAAAAATAATTACATCAACATGCTATTTAGTGACACAGACTGTTCACTTCCTACTGATGTTCATTTGTGTTCGTGTCTTCAGAGACTGCTGTAGCATTACCTCATTCAAAGCACAAGTACAATATGCTAACAGAAGGCATGTCTGCTTGTATGTATGCTTGTGTGCTTAAACATGTTTAAATGTTATTAGGGTGGTAAGTGGTTAATCTTTGGGCTGTTAAAATCTGCAGATTTAAGTGTATAAATTATAAAAATGAGATTGCAGTTTGATGTTTCTGTAAAAAGCCATTAATTGTGCATTTATTTCCATAGGTGTAAAAGACGTAGAGAGCTTCCAGCTTGAGATCAGTGGTTTTCTGAGAGAAATGGCTTGTCCATATTTGTCACTAGTATCTGGAGACATCAAAGACAGATTAAGAGAGAAAGAAGATTGTCTTAAACTCCTGTGTAAGTAATGATCATTTTTCCCATTTATAATACAGTATATGCATGCTTTATAGTTACTGTACAATTTCTATTGCAAAGTTCATAATGTGTTTTACACATCTTAAATTTATGTGTACGATCATTATATTCTAGCTCAGCATGCATCGGCTCACTTGTSCAAAATGAAAAATAGAACAGCATTAGAAAGCTGTTTTAGCAGAAACTAAAATTTCTTTTAAAAGCATGGTACAGTCTACTGAGACCTTCTGATCCCTCTCTTGATCCAGTTGTTCTAGCTCACCTAAACTGAGACCTTGCTTCCTGCAGGGCAGCTTGAACAGAAATGCTGCAGGTGCTGAAAGCAGAATTGAAAGAAACTGTCCAAGTTTAAGTTGTACTTGGACAAATGAATGACAGCAGGARCCAGTGTGATAATATGAGATTTTCTTTTAGCGTAGTTATTTTACAAATGTATATATTGTAGCTGTATATGAGAATGTGGGTGCAGAAATACTTGTCTCTAAATCTGCCATTATGATGCTTTTCTCTCTAGTATTTCTAAGTACAGAACTTCAGGCTTTAAAGATTCTACACAGCAAGAAAATTAAAGGCTCCCATTCAGAAAAGCACAATGAAATTATTCAGGAAGTGCAAGCTATTTGTGATGCACTGAATCTGCCAAACTCCTCATCTTCTGGTATTCCTCCCTTGCTAACCAGTGTGGAACAAAAGGTATGGGCTTTTATGTGTTCTACTGCTAAACTGTAAGCACTATTTCTGTAAGCATTCACTGGGCCCAGCAGTCTCACCCATAAAAGCCCTGACAAGTGCAAAAGAATTTTAATTCTTAAAGCCAGCTTAGTGTTTTAAGTTATGAGGTGAAATATATCAGCATTTGCCTGAGGTTGCAGTGTACCTGATCAGACATACTTCGCCATGCAAGTTTAAGTTGTAAGTTTTCCTCTCACCCATTCAAATGTGATGCAGCAAGCAAAAGACTTTGGGTAATAATTGACTGTGCATACCTGTAGTCATTTCTGAGTTGTATTTAAGTTTAATRTCCAAAACTTAAGTTAAATTCTTTWTAGCTCATTAATTTTTTAATTGCAAGTATGGATTTKTTGGCGCCATTGCCTTAGTTGCGGAGGAGGATGAAAATGCCTGAATTACCAGTATTCAGTGAATGAGCCCGCTTAAACTTTATTCAGCAAGACAATTCTTTCTGTTGTGTCCCTCCAGGTTCTAACTGATTTCACTGATGTGATCCTTAGTCTGATTTCCTTGCTGCAGAATGCAGATAGGCTCTTGAGGTGGAATTTATCCTCTCTGTCAGACAGCAAAAAGTTTTGCTCTTCATCTCTCCCTAGTGTTTGGGGAGAGAGTCACTGATAGCACCTTAAGGGTAGCATAAAAACTCCCTCTGCTTCTGAGTCTGCAAGTTTAATAATTTTACATGATTGTGCTACTATTTTRCTTTCTTATCAGCCAGTGGGCAGTTGAACATTCAGAGATTTTGGGGAGGGCCTGTTACCTGCATGAATTTCCTACATCTGTCTTCAGTGTGACTAGGCAAAACCTTTAATAGAGTCAGTTACAAAAGGCCCCACCTAGGTGCAAATGGAAATGCCAATTCCTGCACTGTTAACTGTGCTTGATCTCTTCAGTTCTAAGGAAGTCTTCACATCCAGTAAGTATTTTTGAAGAGATGAAGAAACAACTCTTAGCACTGTTCTGAGAACGAAAATGTCAGTTACAGCTAATAACTAATGGGCATAAATTGGCCTGATTCTGCTGATCTCCCCCTGTGAGTGTTAGGTATGTTTACATCCATRTGAGTTTATAGGCTGCACCCATGGCTGGTGGCCTTCCTTGCTCAATTCCTTGCTTCACTTTACAGGTACAGATTTAGTTTCATCCCATTATAGGGATAGGGCTCCAGTTCTGAAGTGGGACAGCCTGGTGCACCAGTTTGTTCACACACTTATAGTGATACTGGAACATTTTCTTTGAATTATTGGACACCTGGTATTTTGCAAAGTCCAAAATTTCCTGTCAGATAGGCGCACAGGCTTGAATGGTGTGTATTGTTGCTCTCCCAGTTTCTATAAACTATTACAGTACTAAAATGAAGAGAATCTTAAAAGCGTTTTAGCTTTGGTTTTGGTGGTTGTTTGTTTGGTTTTTTTTTTTTTTAATAATGCTGCCTGAACTATCTTTCAGTAGTTTTCAGATCTGTCAGTTCCACAGTGGATATACCACTTATACTCACTTCAGAGTATAGAAAGGTGGCAAAACTGGTTCATTCATCTTCTGTTACTCCAAATGAAATGCAATTTGTTCTCTGGGTGTTTCATTCCTTATAAACAAAATATTTTTTCCTACCTCGCAGGACATTTTGTAGAATTTCTGCTGTATGCTTACTTGTCTTTCATCCACTACTTTCATATAGGACAAGTTTGGAGTGATTTTGATAGGTTACAGAGTTAGAGACCTACATTTATAGGTATAGCTGCATTAGAAAGGTGGTGCCACTGATTAAAGTTCATTGGCTTTGTAAACATTTGTTTTCAGACCACCATTTTATTACTTTTATTATATGCTCAAAAATTCATTTGGAATGATCCATTTATTTTTCCAAATACTTTATGAATTTTGATTTAATTAGATTCTGGATAAAATTGGACTGTTGCTGTTTAATATTATTCACAATACAAACTTACATACCAATGTAATATTTCTATTTAGTGTATCTGCAAATGTATCTGCAGCATTTCAACATGTCTACTCTTTGTCTACTCTTTGTCTAGCATCTTCAGCATTGTCAGTAGCTGTGGGAGTAGTTCTGAGAATAGTTTGGCTGTGCAGCAGCAACCTACCAAAGGGACAGATCACACACTGTATTTTGGTATGGAACATTAGAACATTTATTGTTTTAAATAATTTTCCAGTTTATTTAAGAGACTAGTCTGAAATCAGGATTGCTTTCTTCAGAAAACTGAAGAAAGTTTTTCTAGTAGCTCAAACTTCAAATATACAATCTCCTGTAATTACATAGGGTAGTGGTTATCAACATAAATAAGAAAATGTGAGAGATAAATTAACAGTATTACAGGCTTCTACCACTAATTTTATTTTATTTTATTTTATTTTATTTTATTTTATTTTATTTTATGGTACTGGAAAACTAATAGTAATTTTTCACTTGTTTAAGATGCTGTTCCCTTATAAAGTATATTTACAAGGGGGGAGTCTAGGAGTCATTCTGAAATCTAGTGCCAAAACCTCTCTAAGTTCTTAAAGAACATTGATGAAAGATTCAGAAAAGTTTATGCCAGTGTTGTGCTTTGTAAACAGTGCTCACATCTGGCTGTTTTCCAATCAAGATAGTGTGAATTTCACACCTAATCACAAAGTGAGATTCTAATATTGTTTATTTGAAAAACTCCTTAATGTAATATTATTCAAAAGACTCTTGAACTTTTTTTTGCCTGCATTATGAAAAGTAGTCCTCTGCTTTTCACATATCAGTAGAATGAAAAGAAACTCTTAAAGGGTTACTGTACAAACTAAATCAAAATTATGGTATCAAAACACGTAAGTGAAATGTGAGAGGAATATTTTTAAAAATATTTGTGTATGCATCCTAGAATTTATTCATATGTAAGTTAATAAGTTAAATTACATTTAACTGTTACTCTGTAGTAACTTTACAGATGCAATGGTGCCTGGATAGTAAGTATTTATGTAATTGCAGGGAACAAGACATAAGAGTTGTCCTGTTCATCAGACATCAAGGTCAAACAAAAATTTATTTAAACTTAAAGAAGTACTGAATTTATCTGCAGGTATATGAAAGAGAGGCTTAAAATATTTTGTGCTTAAAATTTTAGGTGATCTCTCTGCAGCTGTGCACTACACTTTATGACTAATTAAGGCAATGTTATTTCTTTATAGTGTTGATAGTTTAACTTAAATTAATAAAATGACACCTCTCCCCAGGTCAGGTTTTTTTTAAAATATTGAAAACCCATATAATATAATAATATATATAATATGTTTTTCTGTGCTAAAGGTGTTAAACATAAAAATTACTGCTCTGTTTTGGCAGACAAGGATAATTAATAAATATATTGAACATGGTAATGAAATGCGAGCTAAATTTCTTCACAGGAGTAAGTACAAAATTACAAAACAAATGAGAAATGTCATAATAAGTAAAGATACACTTTGTTTGGTAACAGTAGAATAACTGTATTTTTATGCAGCAGGTTTTGAAGTTGGTATTTTTGTCTCAGGCAGATCCAACAGCTTATTTGTTTTCATTTTATTTTTAGAGGGTTTGTGAACTTCCAAAACAATCACCTAAATTTTTAGTGTTACTAAGATCATTGATTACACAGTGTGTCTAATAGTGTTAAATACTACTCTACATCTAGTTTTAATTACTTGGTTTGCTTTTTGCACTGAATGTGTAAAAACTTTAGGATGATTTGGCTATTACAATTTGTTTTACATTTATCTGAGTATGTTTTCACTGCTCTTTAACTGGGCACTGCTTTTGTTCCCAGTTACATGTGCATACTTCTTTTTAGGTTGTGGTGTATTTTTTTAAACTCCTGCATATCCTTCTCAATCTAGGGCAACTGTTACGTGTAGGAATATGGGTTATAAGGTAGATTCTCACATCCATTGTGTTCTTGTCCTCTGGCACACAGGTGTATGTCAGAGTTCTTGTGCTCATACCTCTGTCATCAGTCATGGCTGGACAATGTTTTCTGCAGATGTAAGGCAGCTCAACTTACTTCACCATGTAGTAGTAGGATTTCCCTGTGATCCCTGCAGATGGGAGTGAGGAGTATGTGAAGATTCAGAAATCTGGACATGACTTTACAGTGTGTCACAAACATAGATCAGTTCATGAGCATAGACAGTTCATCAGTGACGAGATTCCTCCTTGACTGTTACTTGATTAGTAAAGCTGTACTGGATAAAAATTACATAGCTACTCTCTTAAACTTAGAAAGAAAGGTTGCAGAAATATGGGGGCAGTTTCTCAGTCAATAAAGAATTGTTTCATTTAGCTGCTCTTACTTCTGATTCTGATTTTTGTTATCTTCCTTAATTGTTCTCTTTAAACTTCCTTTTGCTTTTCACTTCATGGAAATCAGGAGTATGCAGCGTTGATCGACTTGTGATGGCAGAATGTGTGGCTTTTGTATGTGGAGCCCAGTGTCGCATTTACCTCTCAGTTGTCCTTGCAGCTGCAGACTTAGAATAATTCTAACTTCTAGTATTCAGCATCACTGGCTTTCAGATCTTCCTTCACACTCAAACTGTAAATTACATTGTGGATTTTTCATTTTGTTGTGTTGGGTTTTTTGTTTTTTTTTTTTAATACTCTCTTCCTTTCGATTCATTAGAACCTTTGAGGTAATATTTCTGACCTCAATGGTATGTATTTAGATCTCTCTTGCCCAAAAGAATTTTTGATTCATCTGCAGTTCGTTCCTTCCATACTAATTACTGACCTGATCATTTCTGGCTGTTGCACTGATCTTACGCTATTGCTGATTGTTAACTTTAGATTTTGATTCCTCAGATATTTGTTTTAATTTATAGTTTGTGCGTAGATGCATTTACATTTTGGAGTGAAATATGACAGGCACCATGTACATGCTTCAGTAAGATTTAAAAAAATGTCTACATTTGCAAGATGGACAGACAACCCTGCAGTGTCTTTTGTAAAGAAAATASAAAAAGTTGTGGATGTTTGTGCTAATGGTTTTAGAAGAGCTTTGCCAATGGAAGTTCACTAAAAAGAGGAGGTAGAGGTTTCTTGTGATGAGAGAGGAGAATGCAGTGGTAGTTGAAAGGCAGAGAGAGCATGTTYGATCTCTGATTATTGATGACAAGAACTAGTGGAGGAAGTATAAGCAAGTTGATTTGAAGTGAATGCAAAAGTTTTAAACATAATATTAACTGGAACCAATTAGAGGATTATAATAAAATTAATGAGAAGGAATGACTATATCTGTCCATATCTCCTGCCTTTTTTACTAGCACCCTTCCCCAGAATTTTTGCAGCCCAGTGTTGCATTTGGCAACAGAACTTCAAACTTGCAATTATTGTAGTTACACCGCTTAGTAATATGTAAAATGAGTAATTTGACTGGTCCCACTTTCTGTATGAACTTGATAAATTTGCCATATAGCTGTTGTTCTATTACTGGGAGGAGAAGTGATGTGCCATAAAATATTTTTGGGGCTGGTCAAATATTTAGAGGCTGGTCATCTTATAAAAGTATTCAGGAAATCTTTTTAACGTGGATCATAAGCCAGAAGATGAGTATATGTTTTCATGAGTCTGCTAAAACAAAGGTGCTGTGTTTGATCTTATGAGTAGCAAAATGAGATTGTAAAAAATTGTGCTGACATTAATCTAAATATCATTGGTGTTCTGAGATGTATGTGTTTTGTTTCAGATAAAGGACATTCTCTCAAAAGTTAAAAATAACCATGTGGGAAAATCACTGCTGACAAATCCTTTGAACTCTGACCAAGTGGTAAAGAATTTTCTCTATTTCTTTTCAGTATTTAACAGGATGAATAAAGTTAATGCATACAGCTTCATTTAACTTTGCCCTTTTTACAGTCACTGTTTTTGTTAATACTAAAGTTCAGTTGCTAAATACTAACAATGGTAATCAGATCCTTCCAGAATTGACATGAGAAAAAAGACCTTGTGTTTATTCATCCAATATTAACTTTCAAAACTTTTTGTATATACATACTACTGTACCATTACACAGATGTTCTGTAGTTTGTAGTGGTTGCCTCGGGATAGGCATCTTAGTTGATGAATGGKGTTAACTTTGAATTGACTTCTATAACTTTATGTATTTGAGTGTTTGAATTTCTTGTTGTAACACTGCAGGAAAGATTGGAAAAAATCAATGATGCTCTCTGTAGTGAGTATGAGTGTCGACGGCGGATGTTAATGAAGAGGCTCGATGTGACTGTTCAGTCTTTTGGCTGGTCTGATAGAGCAAAGGTAAACTTCATGTATTTTATGCTTTCTGTAGGTAGGAGTCTGTTATAGTTCCCACGTCTTCCTAGACAATATGCATACCATGTACATACACTTCCCTTACTGTTAACTTTTTCTGGCCTGTTTCTTATCCTAAGTGGCAATATCCAAATCCTAGGTGTTGAGGAAGGGGAAGGATTTAACCAGSGAGCATAGTCCGTCCTTTGTGACTGTTTATAGCTTCAAAATTAGAAGTTGTAGCATCCTCTGTTGGGGTTTCTCACTTTAATTAAAGTGCCCATCTCCCTGTTTTCTGTATCTAACACCCTCCAATGAAGCCGAGGAGGGAACCTCAGCACCTCCCATGAAGATGCAAAAGTAAGACAAACACTGGGCCTTTACATGGATTGAGTGTCAAAAGTGATTGCTCATAAAGTCTGTGAGGTTGCAGTGACTGCTGCCTATTGTGGGTTCAGTGCTACTGGATGAACTGCTGTTCACTTGAACAGCTTGTGTGAGAATATCCCACAATTGCTTGTAATTCTTCAGATCACTAAAAATTCCAAAGCACTCCTTTGTATTTTCTCTGCTGGTATTGTTTTAATTGTGATAATTTCATTAGTTCTATTTCTTAGAACTGTGTATATTAGGAAGTAGTCATGTTGTTTCTGAGCTGGAGATATATCTTGCTTGTATCGAAAAGAGTAGGGAGATGAGATACASTAAGTTTGTAATTTGATGAAGATGTGAGAAACTGGAGGCAAGTGTTTTTGCTTATGAGTGGCAAGATCAGTTTTCCTTCTTAAGCTTTCCTTCCTTCCTTTCTGTGGAAAGCTTAAGATGGATAAATCTTAAAGCTTGGAAAGTTTACTGGAAGTATGGATTGCCACAAGTCTTTGTGGCATCACAAACTTGTCCTTGACACATGCAGAACCAACTTCATGAAGTTCACTAAGTCTCACTGGAAGACATGAGTCTAGATGCTGCTGTGCTGCATTGTAATGGCTCACTATTTAATTTCTGAAGGGGTTGTGAATGCTTGTGTGCTGCAAGAAAGGAAAAAGGGGCATTTAGCTCAGAGAAACCAGAAGATGTCCCTACTTCCTTACAGCTGTGCTAATACAATTATTTATCTTCAAATTTGAAGTGTGCCTCTAAAATGTAGTTGATGTGACTGATGACTAACATAATCAGACTTTGTCATTTGCTATTGTTCCATTCAAACAATGTGAAAAACAGTGAATGCCCTTATGAAATAGAATAATAAAGATATTTTTGATGATAAAGTAGTCAGATGATTCATTTGCCTTTTAAAGGTTGTTGATGTGAAATATGTGCAGTTCCAGAAATAACCATGCTACATACTAAATCAAAATTACATATTATTTTCAATCTCCTTTTTTACATTATTTCTCTTGAAGGATGTTCATAACACCTTTGAGAAGGTTTTGGGGATTGAAAATGTTCTGGCATTGATGTAATTTAGAGATGTTTTTTTAAGCCAAGAGACAAATTGTAGTCTTTTTAAAATTTGTAGCTTGCCTTTTTTCCCCCACTATTAAATAAGATATGGATACATTTCTTTGCTTTTGATGATGTGGCATCTTGGGGGTTTTTTTTAGATTTTTTGTAACTTGTTCAGTCCCGAGGAGGGGTAAGTTTGCAGACTGAAATGGGTTCACAAGTGATGGACTAATTACCTAGCAAAACAGTCTTGTAAAGGTTTAGCACCTATTTCTGGTCTAGTCAATATCAAATGTTTTATTTCACTCTGAAGAGCATTCTAGATTTTCCCAGAAAGTATATTTATTTTTATTTTTTGCTGAACAAATGAAGCATCAAAGCATGCTTGGAAAAAAACTGATATTCTCGTCTTCTCAGCGTCACATTTTCATGGCTTGTGTGTAATGCTGCATTGATACATTTTCACTTTTTTTTCCACAGTTTGACCTTACCTTGAAGCTGCTCTGTTTTCATCACGTTTAGAATCTGTCTGTTGAATTTGGTTACGTAAAGCTCTTGGCAGAGCAGTATGGACTCCTCAAGTTGTAGATATGTTGGAAGACATCAGAGAAWCTGTTTGCTGGCAGTGGATAGAGGAGTTTCTTTCATAATGGTGCTAAGCTTCAKCATCAATTATACACAATCAGCAGCACTATCTATATAATAGCTCCACCAATATAAAGCGAATTGGTGATAACTGACATTACGTTTTGTCAGGTAGTCTGTGTTTTCTGGCCCTTGTGTTCAAAGTGAAACTTACTGAGACCAATACATGGTTTATAGTAAGTCTGTTGATGTGTTGATGCCTGGCAAGTAAGTTGTGTTTGATGTTCCCTTTCAGGTAAAGACAGATGAAATAGCGCGAATCTATCAGCCCAAGCGCTATGCGTTGTCTCCAAAGTCGACCATTTCATTAGCTCACCTTCTTGCTGCTCGCCAGGATTTATCCAAGATCATAAGAACAAGCAGTGGATCAACACGGGAGAAAACTGCCTGTGCTATCAACAAGGTATGCTCCTTGTTTCTGGCATGTGATGAAAGACATGAGAATTTACAGACCTATCAAAGTAATTCTGGAATTACACTGGTTCTGCTTGGTACTTTCATTTCATTTTTCCCATTTAAGAAAGGAAGGTTTGCAGTATTCCAGTAGACATTGCAGAAACCTTTTTTTTTTTAATCTTGCTGGACAGTCATGCAACAGGATGAAACAGGGTAGTGTAGATGAGAGGGAAGAGTGTGGGGGTGTACATGTGTGTTTGTGTGTGTGTAAATCACTTCTTGAGTTCAGTGGAACTGCACACCTCAAGGATACATGTAAGTATTTGTGGTATCAGTTCCTGGGCTACCTTGCCAGAATTGTGTTGTTTGGTTTGTAAACCAGCATCTCTGGTATGGCCACAGTAATGAACCAACACTGTGCTGCATTCTTGAGTGTGATAAAAGCTGGAGCTTCTGAGTAGTGACAGGAGTTTCACCATTCAAATGGTGACTAAACCTGTTTTTACTGATCCTGTATTTACAGATTTTCCTAATTATTTCTGTTATTATTTCCTAGTTATTTCTGTTTTAGAGGTGAAAAATGAGAATATTTCCAGTTATGTTGTGATGTTACAAGGACAAGACACAGTGATTCTRCTGTCAGGCACTGCACTAAGGGGCCTTTTTTCCTGAAAACAGCAGGCAGCATTTCTCTGTCCACAGGAGAAGACCCCGTGTCTGTTCAAGTTATCACTGCTGATTTTTAACTCTGAAAATGACCTGTTTTTCCTTATAGGTTCTGATGGGGAGAGTCCCTGACCGTGGAGGCAGACCAACAGAGATTGAACCACCTCCTCCCGAAATGCCTCCATGGCAAAAAAGACAAGAAGGTGGTGGAAGAGGTGGCTGGGGAGGTGGTGGTGGTGGAAGGGGCAACTGGGGAGGTGGAGGGGGTAGAGGAGGAGGAGGTGGAGGTTTCAGAGGTGGTGGAAGAGGTGGGGGTGGCTACCAGGGTGGGGGTGGCTACCAGGGTGGGGGTGGCTACCAAGGTGGGGGTGGCTACCAAGGTGGAGGTGGCTACCAAGGTGGAGGTGGCTTCCAAGGTGGTAGGGGAGGATATGGTGGCAGGGGAGGCTATAATGATCCATATGGTGGAAGAGGAGGGGGAGGATACCGAAGATACTGAAGTACTGTAAATCTTAAGAGTAACTGGCAAAATATAGTGGTGGTGTTTACTGGCATTAGGAATTTAGATATATTGACTTGGGTTTAGATTAGAATTAAGTATGAGACCATATGAATCATTTCATTAGACCAACTGATGTTCTCACTGAGTTCTTTTAGTTAACTGAACAGAACTTTTATACTAAAATCTGATGACTAAAGTCCTTGTTTTTCGTACTGCTTATATGGTGTTTTTTATTATGTCATTTTATTTAAAATAAGTCTCTGCTGAATAAAACCCTTTCTAAACAAACAAAAATATATGAATGGTCAGACCTCTCTAATTATTCATGTAGCATGTCTACTCTCCTGCTCCAAAATGTTATGTAGAAAAAGCAAAGTAGGCCTAAGAACTAAATGAAACCACTTTTAAAAGAATGCTGCTTTCAGGCTTTTTCTCTTCATCTCTTAGTTCTTCATGTACAGTTTTSATGTGGGTCATGTGAGTGAGTTTTAATTTCAAATGTTAAAATCCTTAAGGCTTTGGTCAAAATTATTCAATTAGATTAAATTATTTTTGCAGAACTTCACATTAAAGTAACATTGTGAATTAGTACTCTACACAAATTAAATAAGGTTGTTTTTGTGTTCATGAGGTATCAGACACTAAAGATCAGAGTGTGTACTGTAAACTCAGAATCATAGTGAGTTTTGGCAGCATCTTATTTTCGTTTTATACATTTACCATTTTTGGTGTTTCATAAGAATATTTGAAGCTCAGATGGGGCAGGAAACCTGAAGCTATTATGTCTGGTAAGAATTCATATATATCCTTGTGAATCAGCCATGAGACAAAGTTTGAATAAGCTGAGCTCTGTAAGAAAGAACATGACATTTCTTCTCCCCTTTACTTCTTCCCCCTTTTTTATATTTTCCCCCTTCTCCCCTGCCTGCTCTGTGTTTGGGAGTCACCAGCTGCCTAGTTAGTAAGACACCTCATACAGCAGTTGCCTTTCCTCAGTGATTTCTGTCTCTCCTACTCTGCCACTCTAAAAGAAGCCCTGTCTTTATGGTGTGGGTGCTTTCTCCCTCACATACACCGTTACTCTTGGAGTTAGTTGTCATGCAATTATGTCTGTAAATACATGTAGACAGAAATTAGAGTAGTCAAAGAAGACAGTTTCTCCTACCCTGTATCTTTTAGATCTCCCATGCTGTGAGGCTGTTCCTGAGAACAGAGGTGGAACAGGGGGTGATGTCTGACAGCGTGTCAGTCATGACAGCATTTATCAGGGTCAGGTTACTACAGAGAGATTCAGGCAGGCATCTGATTAACCTGGTGTGTCTGTTGATTAGCACACCAGCCTTGAAACACTTGTAACTGTAGGCTTAACTGCAGGTTGAACTTTAGGATTTGATTTTGAATTTATGTTCCTCAGCTACAAGTTCCTTCTGCACAAATTAGCTATTGGTGTCCATTGGTAACCTTTAAAGATGTTTTTTTACGTTCATAAACATACGTAACRTCCTATTCCATTGGCGATTTCATGCATTAATGTAAAGCTCTGTTCAAAAACGAATTTCGATCTTTAAAAAGTTTTTTGCCTGTTATTTCCTCTCTCATCAGTTCCCTTGAGAATGCTGCTTCTGCTGTAATAGGTACAGCTTTATCCAGGCTTTAGGGTCCYACCAGGTGCCTGACAAAAAGGCAGTTTTCCTGGCTTGAACAYGTTAGCTGGGATGTGAACTTTTGGAATAATGGCTTAATGTCACCCAACTGCTAGCACTGTATTTCCTTTGCCAGATTTTTTCTATGCTCCTTACTGGCTTAAGCCCTCGGCAGCCTCTGCAGTCTGCATGGAGGGACTGTCATGGGTCACATGGGAGCAAAGAATAGTTCACAAATTGATGACATACCAAGTGGGACTGCTGGCCTTGGAGTGAAGTGTTGGTTAGTTTTTAACAACCAAAGCCTTAAGATAAAATTCTGTTTGCTCATCCCAAYGTTACTTTTTCTACAAGTAATCAGCCATCAAGCATGTGGCTTCATCATGGAAATAACTCTGGAAACAAACAACTTACCTATGCCTAAAGGTTTCATTAGTCTTAGGCTGCAAGGTTGCACGATTTAGTTGGATTGTTGTAGCTGCAGATGTGGATGTGCCTTGGTGTTTTTACACTCATCAGTCCATCCTGTTTRTAGTAGGCAGGAGAGTTCTGAATTCAGTAAATCAAGTGAAGCAAGTACATGCCCACTTCAATTCTAACAATTATTTGAGTATTATATTTCAATTTTATGTTTGTAGACCATGTAAAATATGGAAATTTGAATAGGTTGGAGATTTTCTTTTTTAATATGGCCCCTTCAGTTTTTAAGTAATTTCAAAATGTGAAGCCAGTAGTTGAAAACTAAAGTAAGCATCACCATATTTCATGGAGGTACTCTTTGCTGTCCTCTTGTCAGACTATGCTTTTAATTTCTCAAACAATGCAATAACACCATGAGAGTGACTAATTTAAAGTTCAAGTTTTGTTTGTTTTGAAAAAACACATTTTCAAAAATTCTGTTGTAAGTAAAAGATTTTYATATATGTATTTGTGAGCATTTTTGTGTTTATTCGCACCTAAATGAATATTGTTTTGTTAAGAACTGAAAAAAAAGGTAAGGGATGTTTTTCAGGAATGGAGAGAGACACTTTTGTTAACAGCTGTAAACACTGAGGAATAAAGTACTGTATTTGAAATTATTTTCATCACCTGTGTATTGTGATTTGGATTCATTATCTCATGTTCCTCCTGTGTTTGTAAGAAAAAAATCCTGCTGGTGATTTACAATTGTGATGAAACTTATTTTCTATGGTAATGAAAAATATCATATATTTTGACCAAAATGAAGAAGGCTGTAGATAACTATATAGGAAAATTTTAACAGACAAGGTATGTCATCAGTATATCCCTAATACATTGTCTGGGATTAATAGGGAATCTCAGTTAAATTTTATCTTAATTTAAAAAAAAAAAGCATAGTGATCAATATGATCTATATGATCACTTCTGTCTTTATGGAAACTAGGGRAATATCCTCCAATCACTTCTCAAGTTTTTTTATTTTCTGTAACTATAAAGAAAATGACAACTTGTTTTGTGTGTGTAAGACTGTAGAGCAGATCTGCCACGTAAGTAAAAGTTTCAGTTCTTGTTGTCTTCCCTTACATGATAAAAGATAACTGAAATAATGTTTATTCCCCATATAAAAACAAATTAAGGATATRGTGTTTTGAGGTTTATTAAAAGGTAAAAAACAGCAAGTCTTTAGGGTGCCATAGGCAGCATTAGCAGATGCAGTAGAAGACTTACTTAAACTTGACTATTGTGCTGTAAAATCTTTTCAAATTAGCATTCTTAACAAAAGTCAGATACTATGATAATAAAGATTACAAAGGTGCTTTGTAGTACTTGGAATAGTGAGTAGGAAAACAGCGTCTGTACTGTGTCTGTACCACTAAAATACCAAACAAATAATCTACAAATATTTAGCTTCCTAAGTTTTCCCAGGCTTCTTTCCAAGGCTCAGAGAGGGTGAAGCTGGTCTGGAGACTGGTAGTAGGTTAATGCTGCAGAAGCATCTCAGGTAAGAGTCATGGAAGATGAATACTGGTAGTGTACATTTCTCTGAGACACAAAATCAGAGGCATGAAACACAATTTTAATATTTTTCCTATTATAAATATTAAACCAAAATCTTACAATTTATATAAAAATCTTTACAATCTGTACACTTTTTCAGTCTTCTCAGACAGCATTAAAACTTGTTCAAGTTGCCATAGAGATCAGWTACAATAAAATAACAGATACTAGAACAAAAGCACATTTCCAAAAACATATATAAGCTAATCTAAAAGCAWTTGTATTTAACCTGAATATGAACAGTAGCCCTGCCTTGTTAAGATATTAATCAATCTATTTACTTTTATCTTTAAACAATCAGAATTCACGCTTAAGAAATAAACAGGGGATGGGTGGCGTGTCTTTTGTCTTGTATGTACAGCTGAACTAGAGAAGGAAAAGGTGTTTTCATTTAACTTAGCCATGACAGGATAAATTTCAATATCATTGACTTTTAAAGAGCACTTTTAATTGTGTCTTTTTTTTTTTTCTAATATAAAGCAGCTTGAAGGTTAACACAGAGGCAAGTGATTCTTTTTGGGTAGCAYTGTCAGTTTTAACAACTTTCCTGTAGTCAAATTCCGCTATTAGTCTTTCATGCAGGAAAAAGAAAGTCCCAGAAGAAGGGACTAACAGCACTTAAAGAAAAACAGAAAGGAAATTAATGTTAGTGGCTTTGGGCAAACAGAGAACCTGAAGATACTTAAGGAGCTCTGAAGTTATCCATATATCAAATTACTTCTTTGCAGCAGGAAGTTTTCACACATGAAGCACTGCACCCTTGTTCTGTAAGACATTCCTGCAAAGAGATCCCTTTTAAGCCTTTTAGATTGAACAAGTAGACAACACAGAGAAACAGTAAGTTAGTACTTAAGACTGTACAAATATGTGCTAACTCAATTTTGAGTGCTCAGTAGTTGGTTACACAGCAGCCTTTGGCCCAGCTGCTGATGTTAAAAGGAAAATTCCCTAATTCTGAGATTTTGTTCATGATCTCCACCCTCCATCATAGACACAGTATAGGTATAYACACAAGTTATGTTAAAATCCAGAGTTTAGACCACAGCTAAATGAGCAGTTACCTTGGCTGTACAACAAGATTAATGAGTCTTGGCTGTTCCTTTGGGGTATTTTTGAAGTAAGTGAAAATATATTCAACTTTTATCTTGCTTTATAGTTGTAGAAACAGACTTTTATGTGCTAAATGCCTAATGCAAATACACCTTGTTCTGGTTACCTGAATAGAGGACAAATTCCAAGAAATTCACAGAAAATGGCAAACCAATTTTGCAGACATGACCTGACAGCATTTCTGATTGCTTCACTGATCAATGTGCAATTCCATGTTACTTGTTAATAATTCAGGTTTAGTGTATGAGTCAAAAAAGCTGTGCAGTCTTCAGAGCTTCTGTTTTTTTCCTATGCAGTTCAGATATTTACAGTAATGCGACAGAAAATCTACTACTTCTACTCTTTCCCTTCATTTATTTTTGCTTAATACGTGGAGTTGCAAGCACAATCAATTTCAAAACAASAATTTAGAATCACTAAACTAAATCATATTCTTGATAATGACTAAATTGTGGATGGAATGTATATTTACACAACTTTGAGCACAAAGCACAGATGCTGTTGTAATTGACTAAATTTTAATCTACAAGTTTTGAGGAGCATTAAGTAGACTTTGTTTCTGATGTCTGTATGTGTGATGACAAATCTCTGATAAATACAAGCAAGTTTTACACAACTGTTAAGTATACAGATTCTCTTGGAATGCAAATGCAATTTTAAAATTGGCTCTTCTGACAAGTAGATTTATCAGTAACTTGAAAGACTGTTTTGTTGTCTCTTAACAATATGTACACTTTGTATCTTTAAGTTACCTCCTTCACACCTTTTACTATACAAAATTTACAGACATAAGAGCACACTCATCTTGACTCTTTACTTAAAGTGCATGTGAAATCTAGGAGAGAGAAAGTGGAGAAATCTTGTTAGGAGCTCTGAAATACAGTAGCTATTGCACTGGGATTGCTGTAGTTTCCCTCATGGCTCTAAAGGTTCTACAGAACAAGAGCATCTGTTTTGACATGAGAAATATAATCAACCTTGTCCCATATCTACTGTATGGGGATCCCTTAAACCAAATAAGTAGAATTAAATGTTCCAAGTCATGGCATGGAACACAARAATGGAAGCAGTATTCAATGTCAAGTTTGTATAGTCTCACCTCTCTTACATTAGAAAAGGTAAGCATTTGAGCAGCAGAGCTTCTAAAGCTCTGAAGAAAGTTTAAAAAAATTGTCAGTTTATCTTAAAGTGTAAGGATCAATCAAATATAAGCTTAACTACTTATTTTAATGTTCTTGTTAGTTTTTGGAATTAAAAATGACTGTTCACTTCATGGTTTTAATTGGTTTCAGCTCCAAGGGGAAGGAACTGTTTTTCTTAATGTGGTATTTCTGCAGTTTTGCTTACCCATCTTTATAAAACATTTGTTTCTGCAAAACTAAGTTTTGGCCAAATTTGAGGTTACACATTCTTATGAATAGCTACTTTGTTAGAACACTCACACACTAAGGTGTACTGCTGGCAGTCAAATCCCTGGGGAATCAATATGGTCTTCAATGTGAACAGAGACTTCAGCAACACTCTTACTCCTTTTAAAAGCAAATCCAGCAGTTACTATTTTCATTGCACACATAATGTTAAATTACTTTCAAAGGTCAAAGGAATGATTTTATACATCTGGGAGTGCATGTTTAATAGGGACATGTGTTGAATAAARAGAACATTTCTGCTTAACATCCTTCAGATTCTCTCTCCAGTCCACTTGGTAAAGCAGCTTTATCAKGATTCTTCTTCTAGTCTTACATTCTTCCATAGGAGATTTTTCCTCTCATCTGCTAGGAGCAGTCTCTGTGTTGTAGATTGTCAACTACATGGTTTCTTTTCTGGATTGTAAGAGATTCAATTGTTTTATGTGCCTGTTCCAGTTGGATCTTTAAACCTTCATTGTCTGCCTTTAAAATATTCCTTTCCTAAACAAACAAACAAAAAAAGAGTTTTATTTTATTCTGTAATTGTTTGAGGACTGTCTGATTGTATATTTAAGTTGACTGCCATAAACATAAATTAGTGTAGCTCTTATCAGAACCAGTAACTTATTTGAACAGTCCTTGTTCTATCCTTTGTGTATACTCTCACAACTTTGGAGTAGCTGTCATGTCCACAACCTGCATTTATCCGCCCTCCACTGCACCTCTCATAACAACAGTATTCTGAGGAAACAACACAGCTCACACTTTGCTGCTCTACTATTGGAGAAACTGATGTACCAGAAGCTAAGCCATTAATTTATAACATCATCTGCTGKTCAGTAATTGAGGCCAGGGTCTGATGAGGGAGCAAGGACAAATGTAAATTATGGGACTTACATGAATGGGACATTTTAAAGAATGAGATTTTACAAATTACATCCATATTTCACATCCTTGTATTGAATGTACTGTTGATTGAAAGGGAAGTGGTTTGTACTGGAAGATTCTTGTCTTAATCTCTGTCTCTTTCATAACAGATGCTGCTTTACCAGCAGCAAGGGATACTTTGAAAGTTCTAGTGATCATTCAAAGATCAGACTGTGGTCCTCCATGTTGTTTCATCACAGAATAGTGATAAATATTGAGTAAAAAGTATGAAAATAAGTYTGATTTCATTCCTTGTAATTACTGGATCCCCCCAGGCAGTTGTAATAGTCTCTATAATCTGTCTAGAAAGGTGTTTCTACAAACCTGAATTTGGGCCATGTTTGACGTGACACAGTCCCATGAATAGCTACTTTGTCAGAAGACTTTTAGAGGAAAGGGAGACACAACGGGGCTGATGTAGCTAAAATCTAGCAAGAGGCATCGTGTCTGTTCACAACGCAATTTCTTGGTGGTACTCACACTTGTCAGTTGAACAAAAGCAGAGCTCCCTACCCTCCAAGCCTCATGTRTTTTGTCATTCAGGGGAGCAGAGGCCACCAAAATCAGGAGGAAATTCAGAATTATGCTCCACATTTTATGGAGTAACTTTCTAACATTCTGTCCTGAGTGACTGAACAACTCTTCACATTCTAGAGTTGACAAGGATCAGTGTGATTATAACAAGGGCTGCAAAGCCCTATATTAGCACTAAAATTCATAATTTAAATTAAGGATTGCTGGAAGTTAAAGTGGCTACGACTTTATGATGCCCCATTTATAGATTATTTAATTGCAATTAATTACACTGGAGTAAAGTGGCACCTTCCCACCCAGCCACTCCCCCACACATCAACCACTTGACCATACYGTTGAAATACCTGAAAACAGAATTTGTTCCATCATGCATGTACCTGCTCAAGTTCCTGGTATGAGGGTTTACAGCTGTGATGCTCCTCCTTCATTTTCTGGCTGGAGTCCTTGTTTTCCCATTTAACAAATGCCTTTTTGCGGCCTAGAATTGGGCTTGGAAATGTGGATGCTGGAGCTGCCTGGAGATAAGGATTTTCTGGAATTCTGTGTTCTTTCTTCTCTCTYCGCTTACGACATACATCACCAGCCAGCAGTACAGGATCAGTCTGTGTACTTTTATGAATCACAGCTGGTTTCAGTCTCACTGAGATTTTCTGAGCTGAGGAACCCATGAGCATGATGGTTCGGTCCTTGCTGTCTTCACTGTGCTCCACTACTCCATTAGGAAAGGTGAATGATCCTTCTTCTTGTCCTTTAAAATATATACGGTAAATTGAGGCAAGATCTTCTCYCAGAAAAGGGGAAACAGGAGGCATAGCAAGGAAACATGATTTTAATAAATAAAACATTTATTCCTTACTGTCTTTTATATTCATTGCTCTTCAGGTGTCATTGGAACAACTCTTTGCCCTGTCTCAGTAACATAAATATGGATTGGTAAGAAGAAAACAGATGTGGCATAGAGGTCAGCTAGAGAAAAACTTCGGTATGGGTAAGAGGTGGTTATTATGTAGTGCTGCAGCCATTTCAGACACAATTACAGAGAGGCACATAGTTAATATCAAAAGAAATGGGTCACCTTGAGCTCCACGTAAGTGCTAAAAGAAGCCTAAGGTGGAATCCAGTATGAGTCTTAAAGACAACAAAAAAAAAAATTGATAATCAAAGTGGCAGGAAGCAGATTTGAAGAACATTAAATACAGAGCAGGAGAGAAATTCAAAGAAAGAGTATGGAGAGAATCAGAACATCAAAACCAAAAGAAAAGCAGAAGTAGTCTGGTGTTTTTCAAGGACAACACTTCTTTCTTTGGAAGCCTATATGGTAATACACAGTAAAAAAAATTTAAACAGCTTGTTTGATACAAGGAAAAACGATCAGAGAGGTATGGATTTTTCATTTCCAATCCTGTGAAAGATGGATGGAGGGAGTTACAGATTCAGGTACTGAAGYTGCAAAAATAAAGACAATTAGCTGTTGGTTATCCAAGCACACAGATATGTAAGAAAATTTACTTTTAAGCTCCACATTAAAATTTCAGTCAGAATTGTAGCAGTGCAGTAGTCACAACGCTGCTAAAAAGCAAGGCTTGGCTGTCACAAGGTGAACGAGTTAAGGAAACTTGTCAGCTCTTCATGTCATGGTATCTAGTTCTCATGAAAGTCTGGCAGAAGATTTGCTCATTTTTGTGGCATTTGTGCACCATATATTGTGTAGCATGACAAGAGATCTCCCAGAAAGGGAGCCCATCCTTAGTCTAGAGCAAGAATGGTGTTACTTGATACAAGCTTATGTACATCTGGTTCTAGTTTTTATGTTGATCAAACACTAACTTATAAAATCTAAAATGATTCTGTACAAATCAGCTTTAAAAGAAAAAGGAGTAAAGAAAGAGTGTCTACATATTTTGATCTTTTTAATGTAATCTTTTCTCACCACGGAATTGTTCTTTGACTCCTGCTGGGCAGAGGCTTGAAGCAAGAGCAGATGTTGGGCTGCTGTCCGCAATGGAAATTTTGGGTCTTCTCTTGCACTCTATCACAACCAGGTCTTTGCATTGCTTRTGACAGTTCATTCCACAGTCTGTGAACAAAACAATGTTTACGTGATTGTTGCCTCCCTGGGAAGCAAGAAGCCTTCTTTGGTGTTCTCTACATGCATGTATCCAAAAACAGCATACAGCTGTAAAAACCGACAATATCCCCTTGCTATATATGCAACTCCTCTTAGTTATGAAAACACAAAATGACAACACTCAGTCACAACAGTGCTCTGACTGTAAGAGCAGCAGAGAAAGCAGATGAGGAAGCAGTATGAGGAAGAAAACTGCAAAACAGATTTTGATAATGTGCTGCACAATATTCACAAAGTGGTGATGTTTGTGTCCAAGGGTCTGTTCCCAAACCCTCTGAATTCAGTCATGTCTTGCAAAGTATTAGAGCTGTCAGTTACAAGTTCCTTGAAAAACATTTCTTCTGGACCATCCATCTGTCACACTATTCTTGAATCAGTCTTTTCCTCCCTGGAAGGTCAGATTACAYGGGTCTAGATATAGCAATGGATCTCAGGGTGACCATGGGATTGTACCATTCACTATCAATTATGGATTAAAATTAACTAAGTATTAAGTACCTTACCTTTGCATCTGTATCCTTGTTTAATGACTCCCCATAGCTGAAATTCAAGCAAACAGAATGCCTATGTGTTAATATATTTCTCTGCATGTTTGATACCTCCAGATGAAAAATACACTAAAAGCTCCACTCTTCTAAGATCWGAGCTCTTGCATAATATCTTGTTTTCTTACACTTCTAATCATAAGGTCAAAAGAGAACTATTTACTGCCTTAGCATAAGGTAAATAGAATATTTTATGTGTGTTCCTCAGTGACATACAAAATATCTTGAGCTAGTCTACTGAATACATCAGCAGATCTGACAGCTCCTTGGGAAGTTGTGGAGCTGGAGCAGATGGAGAATTGGAGCAGATGTTTCCTTCTGTGCCACARGCAGGGGGCATGCCATGTCTGTATGAGGACATGAGTTCTATCAGCCCCTTGGAGTTRAAGGCTCTGGATTTGGAAGTCTGGCCTGAGTCTTGTGTTTGGTGACACAACCAAACTCCGCCAGGTAGGAACCATATTTAAACATAATGGCAAGGGGGGTGTAAAGGGTACCTTAAACAGCTACAGAGGGCCCAAGTCTGGTGTTCTATATAACTTCACTGATGTTTTATAYAGATCCATTTCTGTGTATGATATAAAGCAATTAGGAGATAAAAAAGGCATAATTCCAGAGAATGGTAACATAACTAAAAAGAAAGCTTACAAATCCAGCACAGTTGTCGCAGAAAGTGGGCCTTAAGTAAGTGGTCTCTTGGAAGTTGTGAGCAAAGCCAAGTCCCAGTTTGGAATAGATKGAGCTGGCCCTCATAAAGTAAGCTGTTATTTCATCCCTGCTAATCAGACCTTCCCTGGAAATAGACAAGAAAAATTGTTTGTGAGTCATATATTTTGTTAAATGCATAAACAGAATGAAACATATTTTTCTTCATATTTTGTAATAGCAATAGTTTATTGAGCAAAAAAAACTGAAGTGATCTTTGTAATCTTGCCAACTGCTTCCCAAATATACAGAAGCTTATCTACACATTTAAACTGCAGACTGTCAGAATAAATTGAACATCTGCATATGTGAAGCAATCTCAAAACTATTTCTTGGAATAATCACTTTTATTCCATGTTTTAATATGTTAAGAAAAATTTTCCAAATTTTATCAAAATATACATTTGCCACTACTCTATTTTTAAGGGACAGCTTTATCACAGGAAAATTCTTTAGMAGTATATACTGAATATAATTTGAAAAATTTCTTTTTCTATTGTCTGTTTTTTCTTTTAAATCAGCTTGGTTACCACTGCTCTAAGCCCACAAAGCTGCCATTCACAACACATTCAGAAAATGATTTGTCAGTTATGTTTTCACTTCTATTTGTGCCTGAAGAGGACACTTTTACCACCCTAATGATAAAATACAATTTAAACACAAAATCTTCTAAATCCCTCCCAAAACAGATGTTGCAAAGTTGATAAGCAGGTACTCACCAGTCCTTAGCCATAACACAAAATGAGAATGGAAAACTGGCAGCAATCTTTTCAAATTCTTCCTGGGAAATGTATCCATCCTGATCATGGTCATAATTTTTGAAGACAGACTGTGCAAGATAATGGCAGAATAGTTTATAATAAGGATGGTCTCATTATCACTTTAGAAAGCCTCCACWTTATTTATGGATTTTCCTCTCCCATCTTCTCCCAGTGTCTATTAAACACTGCAGCAGTCTGCTTTCTTTGTTTAAGACTACAGAAGTATTATGATTTCTTGATTTGCAWGAAAATATAGATAAATCAACACAGGCTGAACTAGATGCTTCACAGCATAATGACAGCTGTTTTTTACATCTGCTCTAAGACCATTCCGTTCAGGCCCACGTATACAACTTGTACTAATGCTCTCAGTCAGTGCTCTCCGTGATGGTTTCTGTAGCCAAATCAGTGTAGCTGCCTAGCTTATTTTATCAGGTCAATGTTATGAGAAAATCAGTTATATGGCAGAATTGTCAGGCAGTCACCTGTTTCCACTTGTGGAATGCACTGCTGTTTGTCTCTGGCCCTAAGGCAAGGAGCACACCTAGATCAAATTTAGAAATATACTCCAAAACAGCATTTATCGAAGGATGCCTCACTGTATCAGAAGTGCTTAGAAAGAAAAGAGATGAAGCAGGCAAGCAAAGACAAATTCTTTACCTCTCTATCCCCAATTGTTTTGGGGACAATCACCTTAATGTGTAGTTTCCCCTAAAGCGGGTGACCCAAAAGAAAAAAAAAAATCCCAATGGCTGCTTGTAACAAAGCCACTGAGAGACCTACAGTCAGATTGCATCAATAACGTGTTGAAGACCCTGGTGGAAATGGACTCCTGGCTCCTTGAAAGAGTGACTCTGGAAGCACAAACCAGCATTCACACTTCCTGCTGGCTCTTTAGCACTTGAAGGAATTTCCATGTGTCTCATAGGCCAATGCTCCTATTTACAGGCAGGCAAAAATACCTGTTTGTGAGGACAGAAATCCCATTCTTGTATTTTCTCATACGTAGAGATTGAGACTACAACAGATTACAAAAATGTAAASTACACTGGCCAACCTTACTTACATCTACCATCCTCTGAACGTGTTTGCTGATGGTTTTTGGATCAGGTTTTGGGGCCACTCCTGAGGCCCAGTCTGCAACTACAGGTGGTTTGGACGGTGTCAAAGGCTGAAATAAACCGAGTGGAACTTTGTTAGTACCACATGAAACAATTTTCAGTATTACACTTCTTCCATTTGTGACAGTGGACCATGTGACACGGAAGTGCAGAAATGACCTGTTGGATCCAACRTAATTCTTTTGATAATTACATCGTGCTTCAGATTAAACTCTTCCTGAAACCATTCAAAACAGTGGTCATTCCCTTAAATTGTCATAGTTTGCTGACAGCCCTGTAAAATCACCATCTTTTCCAAATTTATAAAACAAGAATAAAATTACCACAAAACATGGATTTCATCATTGGAATCGTATAAGAATTCTCTAATTGATAAAAACAGTATCAATTGCCAAGATTGAGACTGATGTCATGTCTCTACAAAGAAACTTCATATGTCTTTATGTTGGTATTATAAAACCTGAAATGGTAGCAACTTTGCCATATATTTTACTTAGGCTTCAGCATCAACCAAGCAATTTATATTTTAACAGATTTCACTTAAATCTGTAAAGCTAAAATTCAGCATATAATAAAATAAAATAATAAATTGAATGCAAGAGATAAAATTTTCTTCTAAAARTAATTCCTTTTTTTAGATTAAAATCATTCATAAAAACCCTCCTTTCGTTAAGAATCTGTAAAGGCCCTTACAGCAGCTCGGTGACTTCGTGGCTCTCGTGCATACGAAAGTTCATAGATTTCATCTTCTGTGTAGTAAAGATCAAGAGACAGCTGAAAAAAACCAAATTTGTTTAATCCCAGAACAGTCTCTACTACTTTATAAACTTGTTACAGGAGTGCATTCATATTTTTTTGGTGCATTACTTTTTAATTTAGATTACACCTAGGAAAACTTAAGCTGCACAGGTATTCACAGTGATTTGAAATGTGTCCAGTTCTACATTCCAGACTGTTATCTGGAAATCTGTTAGGAGTTCAGAAGTTACGGCACTGAAATGAAATATTCCTTCTCATTTATTTCCTGTCATATGTAGATAGCTGCATGAAATTATGGCCACAGTTCTATATATTTGTAATAGTCATTTTTACAAAACRTTATTTAAAAGAAAAGAATACTTAGAATAATTTCAAGCAAAACATTTAAAAGAAATAGAAGGAAGAAGTAAGAAATTCACCACTTCACATTTATTCAGCTTTATTTCAGGCCCTGGGCATGTGTGCCTAATTTCATAGAAGAGTGCTCCCAGGGAGAACAAATAACCTGAGGCACATAAGCATTTTTGTCTACTGGCTTTTTCCTGAAACAGGGCTTATAACCAGAAAGTGGAAGTGGACTATCTAGTTTTTCCAAGATRAGATACTTGTTAAGGCCAAGCAAAACTGAGAAACAAGAAAGGAAGATTTACTATTTTAATAGAAAGTAGCATTTTAACTTACTAGGAGAAGCTATTGTTTTAGCAATGTCCTGGGTTGTATCCATTTTTTAGTAGCATGGCACTGATTAGGTATGACTGGGAGAGTAATACAACAACCATATTTGACTAATGCTTATGTCAGACAGTTTCTTAAGCAGCAGAAGAAACTTGGCTAGAAACACAGTATCTTGAGGGACTGAACTTTTGTGTGATTTTGTTTTCAACACAAGAAATTTTCCCTATGAAAAAACGGAGGGTGCATACTACTACAGTGAAACAGAAACAAACATTTCCTTCCCTTCTGGAAATAACTGGAAGCATACTGCTCATCTGGCACCTCTCCCTTGCTGCCAGATAAATCAGTATCACCAATTTTTTTCTCTTCTATTCCTGCACATTTACCCTTGAGGGGAAAAAAATTTACAATCTTATTTATTCATAAATAATTAATGCAAATCTCTATTTAGCTGTTTGACAGGTATATGAAATTTYTGATTGGATGCATTTATCTTATCTAACAGACTTACTGTAAGCAAGTGAACAAGGTCCATATTAGCCTCCAGGGGAAGTGGCATTTCTTGGAGTTGTATCAGCTCATCTATGTGGTTATACAGAGAATATAGTTTGTATACATTAATTTTTTTGTCTTCCAAGTAGTCTGGCATGCCCTCATAAAGAGATATCAAGTCTTTCAGGTGGACCCCAAGGATTGGGATCTTAAAGTTACTGCACTCATTATAAGCACGTCGGTAACTATCATAATTTCTGTAAGATGAAAGCAATTCTGTCATTTCATTAAACACCTAAAAATAAAAAAGAAAACAAAAATAATCAACACTGGTTATTGTTTCTGTTTTTGTCATATAGCACAAGAAGTTCCATATTATTGTTAATGGGTTTACTCACAATGACTCTTGAAAAAGATTTTAAAACTTCAAATGAAATCTAGGTATTCTAGACATCCTATACCTATAAATTAGGTACTCATATGTAATTATAGATGTTAATCTACAGCCTAATCTATAATGCCGATCTCCTTACATTCCCCGTTTAGTCAAATGAAAATAAACAAGATTCTCTCCAATCAGGRGGATCTGTATGCAGTTAATGTGTAAGCACAGCACAATCTCTCTGACATTCCTAAAAGCAGCCAACTTCAGCTTAAAATGTAGAATGCATTCTCTGACTTTCAGGTCACCATCTGGAACTGCTGGGAAGGTCCTGGCAGACAAACCCTATGCTGTGCCATCATCCCACTGCAGTGTGATCAGAAGTCGTACYGTGGTTCAAGGTGGCAAATCTGTCTTTTTAAAAAAACATTTTCCATGGAAATGAATTAGAAACAAAATACTGGGTTTCTTTATAAAGGCAAATTAATCTTCATTCTAGCGGTATAAATATTTTCCATCTTTAAAAATTACACAGGCACAAAGTTGACYCATAAAATCAATGGACCAATGTTTTCTTTGGGAAGTTCCTATCAAGAGTTCTTGGTTTGTAACCTTTACAAACTGTTTGAAATAGTTAAACCTCAAAGTGTGCTCTAGAGTCACTTTTTTTACCTGCTTTCTATTAGCACTGGCATACAATTTCTTGATAAAGTTACTCAAATGATGTGCACATATGCAATCCTTAAAATGACAAAATTTGAAAAACAACTTCTTTCTAAAATAAGCTTTCTAGCTGATTTTATAGATTCTCAGAGCTGTAACCATTTCCAGTGGAAGAGTACACTTCAGGTCTTTACTCCGGGTGTGCAYTTTCATTTAAGTTGATCAAACTGTGATCAAAACAAGCTCATTAGATATCTTTATGAAATTTTTCAGGCCCCTCCAAAAATATCTTACTCTCTTAAGAAGTCGCTTACGAAACCATTTGAAGGCTTTTTAAGAAGCATTGCTAAAAACATGCTTTCCTTCCCATTTTAGTAGCTTTAATTTGTATCTAACAACAATTTAACTGCAAATTAAAATAGATTCCTAACATTCCACTGTACTACGTGTGTGTTAGGGCTACGTTTGTTCACGTCTGAATTAAAAAAAATCTGTCAAGGGAAAGATCAGATGACCAAAACCAGTCCTTCCACTCCAAGAGCAGAGCTCTATGCTAGCATTTTACAGACTCAGGGTGGTCAACGTTGCTATGGATGACAACAGTTTTGTTTTCAAATGTTCTAGAATCCAGTTCTCTGTTTTCATGTTAGAGTGTTATTCTGTATTACTGCATGTAAATGAAGATGCAGCTCATCACATCTGAGATTAAAGGAGAAACCTTAGAGAATGTGTACAAGTCTTGAAAAAAGGTGGGGTTGCAATAAGTGTAGGAGTAACTGGAGAGGAGGAGATGAAATGACAAATAAAAAACCATCCAAAACCAAAGAAATTTTTGTTCTTTCTTTCCATCTTATCCATTAAAGTCAAGTTGCTTTTAGTGTGTGCAGTGGCAAAAAAGTTAAAGGTTATCTATCTAATTTGTAAAACTTAGAGAAGCAATACTAACCTTAATGACATCATGAGGAACACATGAGCTTGTTTCCTTGAGCCTGGAAATAGAACTGTGACAGAGACCTCCTATCACTGCCATTAATGTGTTGAAATTCTGCAGCTGGTGGAGCTTCTGTGTTGGCATAAAAAAAATCATTATTTATAACTTAAAAGTTCTGATTGCTCAGTGTGCASACCCAAATTTTAATTTCCTCTATTATCTTACAAGCTTTGTGCCATTTGACTTCATGTATTTTGGTAATCAGTTGTAATTTTACTGGGTGTAACATGGATTTATCCTACTGTTATTAAGTCAAATAATAAGTTTCCAGGTACAGTCAAAATACCTTTTCCCACAGTCTACCACTGGCTATTATCTTGGTTTTGACTGCAGCTGAATTAGTATGCAAAGAATACAAATAGGACCATAGACCTGCTTTTATCCCTAAAGGTGTTTCTGGTGGAATGCTTCTAATCACAGCCAAARGCATGACAGTGGCTCATGCCTTGGAAAGCTTCACAGGCACAGCTGGGAATCTAACATGCTATTCCAAAAGCAAGTCTAGTTTTTCAGTGAGAACAATTTCTTGAGAATTGACATGAGAAAGTCCTGGTGCCATGACCCTGTAACATCTGAGTACTTGGTACGACAGYGCACACAAATGCCCACGTGAACGAGGAGACCCGTGCCAGCTCTCCCAGCTCTCCCTGCAGTAGCAGCATGGGAAGAGCATAAAAATAAACAGCTGCATCAGGAACAGACAARATAAACACTGAACATGTCAGATTTTAACTTACCTGTGCAACATGAATAAACTTGATGAACACTTCAGCCCGAAGCTGTGGGGTTGGTCTGCTGAGAACCATTAGCTGCACCCACTGAGAGATACCATTGCAAAGAGAAATTGATCTTTCCATTGTTGGATTCTCTTTCACACAACTATTCACAATGTAGTTCTGATAATCTGAGAACTTAAATAAGCAAAAGAAGTGTAAATGAATATTCATATACAGTTTCATATACCTCATGATCTGTGTGCAGAGGTCTGCTTTTCAAATGAAATGTAAAAGATATATTTTACACYTTAAATATCCATAAAACTGAAATCTTTCTTTTATAAAAGCTTTGTTAAGYTCAAAGCAGAGGCTTGGACTAATCTTTTTGCTATATCTCAGGAGCCTTGGCTCTTATAAACTCTAGGATGTGTAGAACTGGGACTTTCCTCCCAGCCTTAGTGGCTCCACAGATTCATTGAGTCTGTAGTCTTCTATAGGGAAGATTAAACTGAATTTAAATTGTATTCTATTAACTCAATGATAGTTTAAGAGAGTTCAGGGTTCAGTTTATGTAGCTGGGGCACACTTTTGAATTAAACTACACTAATACAAAAAGCAGGTTTGATGAGATTAATACAAAATTGAGATAAGACCATTACAAATGAGGGCTACAGATTCTTTAATATTTTTAATACAGTTTGCGAGATTCTTTTATTTCATCAAGGCAATGTAAAATTGTTCAGTAACTACCTGTGACACATAGATTTTTTTAAGCCATTCTTCCATTAAGATTAAAGAGAAGCAATCATTTGATTTTGTTGATGCAATTTTTATCCATTCTGTTGATTTATCCATTAGCAAAAAAACMCAAGAATTAGAATTATCAGAAAATGCAGCACAGGATTTATACATCCTTTCTTTACTATGACCACTAATACTAGCATCTTGCCAAAAACACCCATAGCTGTAACAGACATCTATTCCTTTCCACAGGAATATGTGGGACTGATCTTTAAGTAAAKGACATAAATTTTCAGGCTGTTTATTTCTTACTCCCCTCTTGCATCTTCTTGCAACTTTGTAACTTGTTTCCATCTGTTTAATAAGAGCTATTAGCACTTCAAAAGCAGACATGACAGCAGACAGCTCTAGATTTTTTGTCAAATTAAAAATGGAAGAAATGTTAGTAATAAGTAGAGCTGTCTCTGAGATTACATAGTATTTAAATTACAATTACCCTTGAATTTTGAATTCCAGCCAGGTGTGGCTGGATCTTGAAATTTAAGCAACTAYTCCATGCAGATAGATAATTTTTCAATATCTGACTACATAATTATGGACGTCATAGCAGTTTCAGTACAATTATGAATCAGTTTATATTTTATTCCCAGCAGTCACCTGCTTCAGAAAAGAACTTTTTTAAATGCCAAAGAAATTAATCTCTAACATGCTACTTAAAAGTTTTGAAATAATTGTGGTGCACAAATTTATTAATGAGGTAAACTGTAACAAGATTGTTAGTGGCAGATTTGGTAAAGAAATTAAAGTACTTAAATAATGCAAGAATCTATTATTGCAATGGCCAACTTAAGAGCCTCGAAAGGAATGCAGAATCCAATTCTTACAAAAGACTGCAGCCTCCCTGTACTTTATGACTATCAATTAAAATACTTTCCAAGCAGCAGCACAGCTTCGGTCATTACTCTGTGAACACCACTCCCTGCATTTTAATTTGTTGTAAGATGGATGGTATCTCACATAAGACTTTGCTGCGTGCTCTATGTGTTCAGGGGATCAAGTATTCCCTCCTGACCTTCGGATGACTAAACCTTTAGTTATTTCAGTGACAAATAACACAGCAGATCATTTTCAGTCTGTCTCCCAGTATATGATGTCACATYGGAATAACGAAAGGATTCTGTGTCTTAGCATATCATGAGCTTATTCTACAAAGATTTAGCTAATAAGGCTAACTATTAAACAATATTTTCTCATCTGAAGTCTTGGTAAACTCAGTTTACATAAAAAATACGCAGGTATCATATGCATGTATGTAATTGTTGGAACTCCACGACACATCTGGCATTCTGACGAAAATCATACTTGTTATAGTCATTAATTACCTTCTATCTTCAAAGAGGTTTTGAAAATGATGAGTTATATAAGCTTTGCATATTATTACTGCCTACAGGCAGCAATCTGTGCTTGACTTCAGTTCTGCAGCTTTTTGAGTTGAACACAAAACACAATCACGAACTGTCAGCTCAAAATAAAGTACACTAAAACACCACTGTGAAATCTTCCACCATCTAGTGAGAGCATGGGTTCAGGTTCAATTGCAGTGTTACCAAAAAACCACCAGAACCAACTGAATAACAGCAACAGCAAATAAAAAAAAAAAAAAAAAAGGAAAAAAACACTTTGCTTTTACTCTCATTATCACACGGACTTTGCAACCGTCCTAGATTTTGGCCTCTAAGATTTACTTTTCCATGTGTGAACTGTATCAGGTTTGACTAGAGGTATTGTTGTAGCATACACTGATGCAAGTGAAGCCAAGGTACATAGGGAAGTTTGCATCTTATCAGCTACAAACATTCCATAGAAAACAAATCAAATTTAAAAAAAATTAATTAGATAAATCCTTAAAATTGTTCGTATACTTGAAAGCTTATCTAGTAACATGTGTTTACCCCCCTTACACTAAAAATGGCCTTTTTAAAGTGCCTTTTTATCTCTAGTCTTTATTTTGTTATGCACATTCCAAAAAGGCAGGCAGAGTCCAGAGGGCATCTTCAATACAATCCATTAATCACTGCGCTGCACTGTTTCCTACAGCCACAGAAGGTTAGCATTCTAGGAGAATATTCCAAGTTTCCTTCATCCCATTTCAGCCTGATTACTGATTTGAGTCAGAGGATGCTGCTTGTTCCTGCACCCAAAGACATCCCTTGTCCTAACAAAAAGAAATTCTCTGGAAGGAGATCTTGAATTTGGAAGAAGGTTTACTCCTCTTCCTTCCAACTGATCTTCCCCCACCTATTCCACAGCTGAAGTTCATTCTCCCTCTCTGAAATGGTTGTAGCAGAAGGGTATTTACTCAGAATAAGTTCCACTGGCCACCTTCAACACTAGTAAAATAAAAAAGAATCTGGAAATAAACTCGACATGCCCAAAATCTTACACGGCAGAGTGGATCCTGTAATACTTCCTCTCTGCCATATCTTCTATTTCCTTCAATCTTTGCTTAACATAAATAAATAAATAAATAAATAAAATTACTTACTGATATTCTTCTGAAAGACTTAAATTCAAGATAGGTGAGGTGGTCTGACAGCTCCTCTGGCTCAAGGTGATCAAAAAGAAGCGAGACTTTCCGTTTCTTACTGGTGTTGGCCTTTACACGCTGTGTCAGCTTTCTTGACCAATCCCTAGAATTTCTTTTAAAACACAATTACCCCAAGTTATTTACTGAAGAGCAAAATTTTTCTTTTTCCCTAAGTCAGAGGCAACATTATTTTCATGGCTTACTGCAATAAAAAGTGATTTATTTGRATTTCTAAACAGCAAACTCCTTTCATACATTAAAGATTATGACAAAATATTATTGWTAGTCTTTATTGTATTGATGTAGCACATTAAGTGCTATACAACTGTCTTGTAAACAGCATGAGATTCTATATAATTTCTGCAGTCAGTACTGCATTTCCAGAATAGCTATCTAAATCTTTTGTCTTCATTGAACACACYGAGTGCTCCTCTATTTAATAATTCTTTGATTTCCTTGAGCAGCCTCTGAGTATGAACTGCCCCCCTTTGCTATTGACCCACAGAATATTAAAATTTATTTCAATTTGAAAAYCTAAATATCCTCTTTCATCACCAGATACAAAATGTATGTATGCCAAATTCTGCTCAGCTTTAGACCCKGCATTTCCAAAGTACGAACTGACACTTGTGTGTCTGTTGTACTGTTCTACAGAATTCTCTTACTCTCACAAGACAGGGAAAATGTCTTCCCGAGAAAGAACTATCCGTAGCTGTAGGATTTATTCTTGACAGGACAAGTATTTTRTAACCAAAATAATCTAAATAACATCAAGATCTGACAAGGTAATAAACTATATCCTCACCTTTGCTGCTAAATTATAAACACACTTTTTAAAGCTCATCTGTTACCCAATTGTATTCCCCTTACTCATTGATTTCAAGCGATCTTGTAAAATTTTTAGGCATCTGCAAATTTTCTAAGTTCCCTAGATAGAGCAAAACTTAGCTGTCATAGAGAATCAGCATGAAGTCTACACTGCAGTTAAATTCAACCTAAACCATTGCTGAAAGGCATTCTGTTCCACTACATAATGCTATTTCATCTGCAATGAAGTATAAATTCTTCTAAGGATAGATAACACAGGACTGTGAGAGGCATTACATTTGAATAAAGGAAATTCAGAGCAAAATTTGTTTTCTGARTATACTGAGACTTCGACACTCACATTTGAGATGTGTCAATTAGACGACAATGTAACTCCTCACCATTAGCTCTAACCAGTTCTTGAAATTCCTTCATAGTCGTGGATAGTTTAGAGTCCATTTTGAACATAATCCAGAATTCTGTAATCCAATACCTATTGTATAATTAAAACACACACATAACAAACAAAATAAAAAAAAAAAGTTTTGCTCTAACATCAGTTAGGCTGAAATTTAGATATCAGCAAGTACCCACTCAGGTGTTCACTCCTGAGTGAAAGGTGTTCACTCCTTCCTCTGCAGTGAAATGGAGTACAGAATAGTAAGGGCAACAGTGCGAAAAATGTGTGGGCCTATATAAAGACATTTAAATAACTCAAGGAAACAAAAATGCTAAAATTAAAAAAAAAAAAAAAAAAAAAAAAAAAAACAAAAACAAAAAAAACCAGCAATGGYGCAAAGGCAATCACACAAGATGCCCAACAACTTTGGAATGACTACCCCCTAAGTTTTTATTGCTGAGTATGACCCTGTATGGCTTGGAACATTCCTTTGGTCAGTTCAGGTCACATCCATATCCCCTCCTACCCTCAAGCTCATCCCAGCCCATATAATATTAGACTCACTTCTATCAATTCCTGAGCACTGTCAATTTTCACAAATGTTTAAGATACAGATTCATATAGACTCAGTTCAAAACTGTGACCCAGCAACTCTAGCACTGCCCTAAACAGATCTGCTCAAAGCCAGTTGGATCTTTTTGTGCAAATCTGCTCAAGTGAACCTCTAAAAGCTGAAGCAGAATACCTGTTTCTCTTTTTAATGTCAATTTAAGATATGCAAAAACATATTTATAAATGTCAGATGGATGACTGCAGACTAATGACTAATAGCTACCAACCAAGAATATACTTACCTCACAAAATAGCATATCTTTACACACACAATGGAAGAGTTATTTTCTAAAGCATTAAGATAGGTAGAAAGCGGTTAAGGAAAACCACATCCATTCACATATGATGCAAAATATAATGTGCTTGATACTTCCCAACCTGTAAGCAATAAGAATCATCCTGCTGATGGCAAATATTTTATCAGATTAGGGTTTTACACAAGTATWTACAAAATATATCCTAAGGTTGCTACTAACATTTATTGCAACTATGACTACTGTGAGTAATACTGAGGCAGCTGCCAGAGTAGTGAGGAGTGTTAAGTAGTGAAGCAATTCTGTTTTCTACATGTTTTTTGCCACATGCCTCACAATTTCTCATAAAACTTGTGCARTGACACATCTCATTAAAATTTGAAATAGTAATACCAAATTTATCAATCACTGCATTTATGGAGAAATCCTGTTCAGCCAATTACGATTCACTGGATCTTTAAAAAAAATACATAAAAAAGCTATTTTCTTTTAAACATAACCAGTTGTATATAATGGTGGACAAAATGTAACACACCTTTCCATAGCAACCTCACCATTCTAGCTACGCAACAGTTTTCATTTGACTTGCTCAGACAACTGAAAGAAACACCCATATTTTCACTCTATTAGCTCTTTAAAACATGTTTTGATATTGTAGCCAATGTCTGTTGAAGACATGGAAAATTTTGACAATGTATTRCACATGTTTTGATTCTTCTCATGGAGGTGGCACATATATTTTCAGGTCTGAAAAACATAATTTAATGAAAATACCTTGTGGATCCACTGACAATCTGATGGAAATTAACTGMAGCCTCAATCGACCACAGCTGAGGAGACATACCATCCACCCTTTAGGTGTGCTTACTTTAGGCTGAYGATAAAACTGATGAAGTCTGAGTAAGTTCCCAAATATTTTTAATGGTCTCTCTCTGAATGTCTAAAATTATAAAGAACATGTAGCCACCTGAAATCACTCACATACTTCAGGGGATGGAAAACGGTGAAACTAGAATGTGCAAGGTTTTGCAGAATGCAAGAGCCCAGACTACTTGATCTATTCAAAATTGTCTTTAACTTTCAATGTCTTTAACGGGAGCTATACACAGAGTTAAAAACCAAACAAAATATGCAAGTTTGATAAAAGTCTGAATTGCTTTTCTGATTGCAGGAAATGTTTCATTTCAGAAAAAATGCAAGCACTGACTTTGTTTCATTTTCCAAGAGCCCACCAGCCTAAGTTAAATGTGACACCACATCACAGCCATAGCTTAGCACACTTGATGCGACATCTGTGACTGGAGAAGAAGCAGAACAGACAGCCCTGCTACACCGACAGGCAAGGCTGCACTAAAGCTCTGCTGACAAGGATGCCTGTAAGACACAGAGTCTGAGGAAAGGATTATCTGAATCAAATTGTACCAAAACTGGATGGAGATCCTTAGCATGATATGTGTCCTTCCCATACTGTGCTCATCTAATTAAGAGTAAACATTCAGTAAAGCTAAGGAGCCATATAAGGTAACATATTCCACAATTAAAAATTTCAGAGAAAGGCTGAAATATAATCTAGTAGCTACACTGTGAAAAATCTAATGAGCCAGAAACACAGTCACCAGGCAGTCACCTCAAAACGGGAACAAATAGAAAGGAYAAGCTTATGATTCATTTCAGCAATTTTTAATTGTGTATGAGAGAAATAATTTTTGTTGAAAATTTTCATATCTAGATGATACCGTTTTGTTCTTTTTGTTCTTTGCTCTTTCACTCAATGGTGGACAGAGATACAAACATCTGAAACTCAGGCCCAGGTTCACAGTACCTAACTGGATTGCCTACATTAATCTAACACCTGCTACATATTCCCTCCACATCCAATAAAGGGTGATTTATCCTACTTAAAACCTGAATTGGATTTTCATCTTTTGCTTTGCATATAACAAACTAAACCAGACAAACAAAAAACTCCAACCCTAAACCAAACAAGAAAACACTATACAACCAAAACCTTTAAAGAACAAGAATGCAATTTACTTAGTGGAATACTAATACAGCCATAGATTAAATATCCTCTACTCACCCATCTAAAACTTGTCAGGCCGTCAAATTACCTCAAAAGCAGGTGAAGATTACAAAGGATATAGATCAACGAGTTTCTGAAGCATGTCTGCAGAGGAGATGACAAACTGATGCATGGCCAGAATTATTTTTAGCAGCTGGTTGTTTTGACATGCATTTCCTTCTAAATCTGAAAAATAAAAAGGATTATTCATATTGAAATCTTGCTGCACCTTCACAAACACTTTGCAACAGGCTTTTTCAGAATCCTAATTCTAATCAGGTCTGTTCATGTATGCTATTTCAAAGAGTAAGCAGTAACTTACTAATTTAGGAAGTGCATCACCTGTCTGGGGAGAGCCGTACAACAACTACTATATTTCACTACCATGTTTGGAAAACCCTTAAAAAAATAAAAGAAAAAAAAAAGGCAAGCAAAAAAGCACCTGTGTCTCAAAAGCACTCAGAATATCCAGACAATTATATGTAATGATCTAAGCCTAGCAATGCACTTAAATGAATATTTAGGCATACGAATATAAACTTGGAAACAAATCATTGAAGTGAAGAGCAAAAGAATTCAGTTAGCAATCCATATCAGTCAGTCATTGGTGTGACTGAACTTACCAAACAGAACAGGAGCAATACTCTCAAGTGTTTTGAGGCTTTTTGTACAGATGAGACACAACACCGAAGTACACACACATCTATATGTGGCTGCACATGGAATGAGACACAATGTATGCAGGAAATCCAGAGCACKGGTTAACCTGGGCATGTCCTATAAATCAGCTTGAACTGCACATTACAAGGATTTCAGCTGAAGGAGGTCTCTAGACTACATCTCTTTGGAATCTTATGGGCTTTTTTCCATATTCTGAAAAGATCGGGGACATGAAGTGCGGCAGAACACTTTAAAAAGTTTCCATTTCTGCAACAAACAGTAGTGAAAGTGTTTGTAAACATTAACTATGTTCTTCCACAACTTGTCATAAGAGAACACAAGTAGTTTGAACTGAAATTTGCCACCCTTTCAAACACAAAAGAAAATTTATCTTTTTGAATAATTTAAAATAGATTAAGCTCTATGAGGATAAATGGAGTTACCACTTCAAAAAGCAATAGCAGGAACAAGATACAGAGGCAAAGCACAATATGGCAAAATGGAAGAGGGATGTGAAACAGCAGCTTTGCAGCATATGAAATTGCATCCATTGCTAGGGGAGGCACGGAGAAGGMGCTTTAAAGTGCATGTCACCAGAAAGGGACATTAATCTTAGCCCATTTGCAAAACTAGATAATCCACGTTAGTTACTGGGCGAGAATTTCCGTGCCCTTCTACAGGAAGACACCAAATGTATCCCCCTTCAGTGATGTGGGCAAGGGGAAAGTCTGCCTGTCCCACAGCCTCATAAATGAGAGCAGTACAGACCACAAGTAACAAGAAGTTCTTGATCTGCCTTTTGGCTCATGCTACAAGTTTATGTGTTCCTTATTTGTGTTCTGACATAGTTTCACTCCTTCMTGAAAGAATCCTTCTGAGATATAAACTGCCTAAGTATTACAGTATGGGCACTGAGGGCAAACCAGAAAATTATTCAGCCAGAGACGTGGGAAATTTGCAGAGGAAGGCTGGGACATCAAGAATCAATACTTATTCAGGCCTTTAGTTTCTGGCATCTTGTACTGTTTGAGAGTCTTCTGGAAAAGTAAAATTATTTTTAGCCTTGCTCAGAGAGGCCTGTATCAGTTTCCATCCTTTGACAAAACTTTGCCAGAAACTCCATCCACTAGGTCCTGTTTAATCAGGAAAGCAGTTCAGTGTATGCTTAACTTGGAAGCCAAATGGGTCTGTGCATTATTAAGAATATCTCCTGAGTGCTCAGTATAGACCATTTCCAGACAACAGACAAAAAATAACACTCCCTCTCTCTTAGCACTTTCACTGTATTCCAAAATCCACTGCTATGATATAACGCAGGTACCACTTGGTCCCAGGTTCCCAATTAAATTTTTGTCTTCTAGAAGGTCTCTCTTCTGTTTTAGCTTTTTCATTTCACAAAGGTGCAGAGAAAAACAGTATGTTCTGCCTACTGTTAGTAATTAGGTCAACACATTTATGATATTTTCTTGCATAATAAAAGTGTATTTATGCTTCCCCACATCCAGATCTAATTATCTTGCAACAGAGATAGCCTTCATTACAATGACATGCAATCATTTTGCACACATTAAAGCAATACTATGTTTTGGGCTATCTGCTCTCTCATCCAACTGAAAGGCTCACCTTCACAAATAAAAGCACTGCATTAGTGATGGCTTAAAAAAATAAAACAAACACACTGCAAAAAGAAATTGAAAGGTTCCCAGTAAAGCTGAGCACTGAGCAGCAAGCCTGCATGGAACTGTGGCAGCACAGAATTTTATGGTAAAGCATATTTGTGCAAATGGTGGAGCAAGTAAGAAGGCTCTCCTGACTGTGCTGCAAGAATGCCTCTGTGCCTCTGAATGCCTCTGTAGCATTCTCCTGAGCCCCCAGCAGTTTGTTTCAAAACTCTGTAACTTCTTTTCATTTCCGTTTATATACCTGCTTCTAACCACACAGCCTACTGAGCAAAACCACCGGGTGAATACTAAATTAAGTACCATGGGTGTGTTTCAGTTAGTCAATCTACCTTAAAGAAAGCTGCAAATTACTACCTAAGCCTTAGCTTTGTCTCACTGCAGCAAAATACAAATAACCAASTGGTTGAATATTTTTCTCCTGTAAATTTCCTTATTGCACTAAGATTTTTAATAAATATCCTCTGAAACAGACAAGGAAGTGAGAGTTGAATATATTTCTCCAGCATTTAATTCCATGAGTGAAAGCCCAGTGACAGATAATGGCAAGTGATTTATGATCTATGTAGTAACACAAAGCCACGAAAAACTACAATTACAGAAGTTCCATTTCTTATGTGGGACTCAGAACTCACAAGGGTAAGAACATTCTAATCCAGGCCCATCAGCCACTCCACTGTATGGTCCAGTGAGTGACTCCTCATAATCCCTGTTTCAGAAAYAGCTTAAGCATCGTTTGGTCCTTGAATACTTTAGAGAAAAAAAATTACCCAAAAGTCATTAAGTAAGGCTTTAAGAGCAAACTACCTGCTTTTCACCATGTCCTGATGGCCACAATCTACAGTAAATACACTTAACAGAAAAAATATGTTCAGCAGAGAAGATCTCTTTACTGAGACCTTCCCTCACGCTCATGAATGCAATGCTAAGGCAATAGTAAGAATGCCAAGGATGTCTTAACCAAACTGAATTTTGCGGGAAAGAAAAGTTAGACTTTCTAGGTCTAAGAGGCCTTTATTTCATAAGCAACGTCTTCATTTCATAAGCAGGTTCCAACTGTATCACCTAGAGTACAATTTGAAATTAATCAGAAGTGAATCACAGAGCACTGACATCACATGATCAGTGACTAAGCTACTCAGAACATGAATAACTTCTTGTAAACTCCCTTAAGTGTTGCACTGGTTATCAAAAAGCAGCACCAAAAACAATGCAGTGCAAGAAAGCACCAAGCAATTGCCAGAAGTTAAGTGCAAAGCTGAAAGTTGTGGGTTGCTATTCTGATGCACTACATAGMATTCTCCAATAACTAGCAATTTTTTTTTCTGGTAGTTTAAATGAAGATGGTGTGGGGATGGTGCTATAAATGTCTGCAAAGATTATTAAATCAACATGTGATCTGAAAACTGAGAGAACTTACGTTCTTAAGGTCTCAAATTCTCAAAGACATGTATGAAATACGCAGACATATGTGGGAGTACATAGTAGAGTTCAGCCCTAAGTCAATGCCTCTGCTCCACATGAGAAGTGCAGTACTGCATGATAGCCTTCAAATGGCCAGAAGCAACCAAAACTAAATAAAATTTTCCATGAGTATTTTGTAGATAGTCACTGGAAATTCCCTTTACAAACAGGAAACACTGTTCTGCTTTAGCTTAAAACTTATGCAACACATGGTGGCTGCCTGACTCCAGGCTTATGACTTCAGTGTTGGAATGGGATACTGTGTAACAGAGATCATCCTCTAACTGTCTTCATTAAATTGAATGTATTTGGACAGAAACCAGTTCGCAAGAAGCCACCATTCTGCTTATCAGTTATGACTCCATTATTGAGGGTCAGCAAGCAGATTCAAACTAACCTTTCAATGACAGCTGAAAGCTCAGCTGATGGCAGATATCAGGGCTAGGAGCTAATATATTCTATTCTGCTGCTCCAATGCAGAATCAGCTTTCTCAAAATCATGCTTCAGAGCCAGTTTAATTCGTTTTTAAAATCCTAAAGTCATGAGGACTTCACAGCTTTTGTAGGTGACTTATTCCAACACTTGAGCTTCTCCATCATTTAAGGATTCTTCTTTCTGTCAAATCAAATATTTCAGGCAACTTGGGCTGCTGAAGACAGAACTCCAGCAGGCAGAAAAAAATTTCTTTCCCTTACCAATATATTTTCTCTGTTGCTTCCATAATTTCTTTTCTGAGCTAAGAAACAACAAATTTGTCCCTTTTTTATTCCTCAGAGGCCAGGTTTTCTTGCTCTCTGGTCAACTCTGCTGTTGTTTTCTGAACCTTTTGTAGCTTGCACCATCATGAAGCAAACATGAATATAGTACTTGAGAACAGATCTTAGCACTAGAGTTAGAACAAAATTTTTAATATCCTTTAAATAATACCTTTATATACACATATATTTTAATATAAGTGTAAATGTATAATGTATCTAAAGAAAATATAAAAGTACAACTATCCCTCTGTGCAAGCACTAAAGAATTTCTGCAGAGATAGAGTATCATTAAACCATTTTCAGTTTTAAAGTCCATCTTCACAATGAGATCCCTTTCTGCAGAAGTGCTGCATATGAAGGATTTTACCATACTGTTTTTACAGCTGATTACTCTAAGTAGAACTTTGTATACATCCTTAGTGATTTTTTCTTTATTTCAGATCATTATCTTAAGTACTTAAAATCTTCCAGAAATAATATAACTTAATAAGAATGTCCTTACAAAGATGACACAGTAATTAGGTAATAGAATGCTTTTTTAAAATTTTAGCTGCAGCAGAAAGCAGGTGGAGCCTTGAGCTCTCCAGTTTACATTTAATTCTGTACAGGATGGTGGTGTTTCCC